TGGGGGGAGCCTGCGGTCGGGGCGGCCGTTGGCACGTGGAGGGAGCGGTTAGGCCGGCAGGACGGCGGGTCTGCGCGAGGGGGTCTGCAGGAGCTCGAGGGCCATGGCGGGGTGGCGGGGAGCGCGCCCCTGCGGGAGGTCTTGGGAGACCTGGCTGGGTGGAGCTGGCTGGGTGGAGCGGGTTGGGGCGTGGGGAACTTGCAGGGCTGTTCGGTAGGGTGCGAGTGGGGTGGGAGGAGTGCAGAGGGAGAGGCACCCCCTGGGCCAGCACGTTTGTGCTTGGTGGGAGATTCCGGGGCAGGCGGTGGCCTCGGAAAGGACCCAGCCCACTAGCCGCAGTGCCCTTCCGAGGGGGAGTCTGAAACTTTGCGCAGGAGAAACTGCCCGTCTGAGCTCCGTCTCCCTGCTTCCCTGTCTCCCCCAGGGTCGGGGCTAGGGGACTCTTCGAGGTCCTGTCTGCAGCCCCAGTGGCAGCTTTCACCGAGTAGAAGCCGCCAGAGGGCCGAGTGGCCACCATGGCCACTTTCAGGCAGGAGGATGTGGAGGAGCACTACGAGATGGGGGAGGAGCTGGGCAGGTGAGTGGACCCTCCGTGGGCCTGGGAAGCGGCACCGCACACTATGTCCTCGGTGCTGCTCGCGGAGAATGAGTCACTGCCCGGTGCTGGCAGAATGGCTTTGGGCTTTGCAGTCAGCCCTGGCTGCAGATTCTCTCTGACCCCCGTGACCTTCCTTTGGGGAGAAGTGAACTTGAACGGTGCCTGGCATATGGCTGGAGAGCAGTCGATGCCGGTGCTTTCTGTATTAAAAGGCGTGTCTTGGGGCTAGCAGGTAACGTGGGGGTTAAGGCACTGGGTCCCTCACAAATAACTTCGCGGTTCGAGTCCTGGACCCAGGCAGCTTGGAAAACACTCTGGCCACATGCAGGTTCCCAAAATCCCCAGAGGAGAAATGAGAAGAAATTACAGTGTGGCCGTCTCCGCTGGGAGGGTGCATTTCACTTTTCATCCCTCTCTCTTTGTCTTTCTGGAGAACATAAGGCCTTATGGTAAAACTAGAAAAAAAGAAAAGAAAGAAAGCCTGCCCCCCCCCCTTTTTAAAGTAATTATTTAACTTTATTTATTCATTTAATTTGACCAGAGAGAGAGAGAGCAAGCCACCAGGTGCGGGACTTGAACCGTGGTCGGCCGGGTGGGAGTGTTCAGCACCTCACCCACCACACCACCTGCTGGTGTGTCCCCCCTTCCCCTCTTTAGCCCTCTTTCCCAGAAGGCACGTAAGTCTGAGGCATCTAAAGGGCCAGCCTCCTGCCCTCCCCGGGCCCAGCACGGCCAGTGTCACATGCTTTGGGAACAAAGCTGAGGTTTCCGGTTCCAGCGAGGTGGCTGACTTCCTGCCTGTCTGGACTGTCGAGCGTGCCCCTGGACTCTGCCAGGCCAGGCCAGGCCCGTTCTGGCTTTTTTTTTTTTTAAAGCCTTAAACCTTATTTGGTGAGTTTGCTACTGGCTGTCCTCCTGGGCCCGCCCCTTGATGTCACCAGAAGGGAATGTAAATAACTCAGCCCTGCTCTGGGCCAGAGAGACTGTCAGAGGCTCCTTTGGGCCCCTGAAGTCCTTCCTCAGGAATGTCCTCCGTCAGGGCGGTGGAGGACACACCCTCCCGCCCTCCGCGAGAAGCGACATACGTCATCGTCCGTAGTGTGTTAGGACCTCCCGTGGGGGGTCGCCGAAGTCACAAAAGCGAGTGTGTTTATTGCTGTAACCTCTGCCTTCCCTCCGAGGAGCGGCTGGGTGGAAACCCGTCCATGCCCAGCCCAGGGTGACCTGGGTGTATGTGAGCAAAGGCGGGCGGGCTCGGAGCTGGCCCCTGCAGAAGCGCCGCGCCCGGGTACTCTTATGGGCTGGTAAAGGGGCCAGGCCCGGGGCCGGCAGGTGGCGTGGAGGTTCAGGCTCGCTCCCACACGGCCGACTGTGCGATTTGAGTCCTGGACGCGACAGCTTGCAGATCATGCCGGGCACGTGTGCGTGTGCCCAAGACCCCGCGCCCCTCACTTTCCCTCACTGCCTGTCTCTCCAGTAAGCGCGTGCGCCCTACGGCAAAAACCTTAAAAAGCCTTCAGCGCTGGCAGAACGCGTGTGCGCACGCGTGCACGGGAGGAAGCGTGAGACGAGGCGTTCCTCCAGGCCTGGTGGCATCGCAGCCCCTTCCATCAGCTCCTGGGTGCCCGTGTGTGTCCAGCGTGATCCCCGCTGACCAGGCAGGGGTCTGAGCTGCGGTCACCATGGGAGATGGCTCCTGAGCAGCACGCTGTGCCCACCATGTCCCGTCTCCGCCCCTGGCAGCGCCCCACCTCCATGTCGCCTGCCACGTGCATGCAGCATCCACGCCCTCCAGGACGGTCCAGGAAGGGACAGGGCGGAGCCTCCGAGTGGGCCCCACGTGGCCTGTCCCTGCCCCTCCCAGGACGGGCCCGTGCGGGGAGCAGGTGGGAGCTGCTAAGGTGCCCCCGCTCACCCCCCCTCGCCCCGCAGCGGCCAGTTCGCCATCGTCCGCAAGTGCCGGCAGAAGGGCACGGGGAAGGAGTTCGCCGCCAAGTTCATCAAGAAGCGGCGTCTGTCGTCCAGCCGGCGGGGCGTGAGCCGGGAGGAGATCGAGCGGGAGGTGGACATCCTGCGGGAGATCCGGCACCCCAACATCATCGCGCTGCACGACATCTTCGAGAACCGGACGGACGTGGTGCTGATCCTGGAGCTGGTGTCGGGCGGCGAGCTCTTCGACTTCCTGGCCGAGAAGGAGTCGCTGACCGAGGACGAGGCCACCCAGTTCCTGAAGCAGATCCTGGACGGCGTGCACTACCTGCACTCCAAGCGCATCGCCCACTTCGACCTCAAGGTGGGCGTCCCCGCCCCCGTCCCTGCCGTGTGGCCCGGGCGGCCGTGGTGACCCGCGTGCGCCCGTCCCCAGCCAGAGAACATCATGCTGCTGGACAAGGACGTGCCCAACCCGCGCATCAAGCTCATCGACTTCGGCATCGCCCACAAGATCGAGGCGGGGAACGAGTTCAAGAACATCTTCGGCACCCCGGAGTTCGTGGGTACGGCCTGCGGGTCACCCCAGGGCGTCCCTGTGCAGCCTTCCTGGCCTCCAGGGCCCGCGCTCGCTTGCCCGGGCGGGTGAGATCTGGAGGGTCTCGATTCGGAGCCTGTGTCTCAGAGCTGCAGGACAGGGCCAGGGCCGGGCCCTCTGTGGGCTGCCATGTCCCCACGCCTGAGCCCAGGCCTCCTGTCCCCCGTCCCCGTCCCCGCAGCTCCCGAGATCGTCAACTACGAGCCCCTGGGCCTGGAGGCCGACATGTGGTGAGTGGCTGGGGCGCGGCATGGGCTCCCCGGCAGGCTCCGTCCCCAGGCCCCTGGGTCCCCGCCCTCTGTCCTGGAGCTGAGGCCGCAGCTGTCGGCCGGGGATGACACGACCTCACGGCGTGTTGGTGTACTTAGGGCAGGGGGAGGAGGCTGTCCCCAGAGCTGGGGTCCCCGTGTTCAGACAGACCTAGCCCAGCCGTGAGCTCGGAGTTAAATCCAGACAGACAAGCCCCTGACAGCTGGGCCCCAAGGCCAGGTCCTCGTTGCTGACCCTGTCTTCTGGGACGGTAGCTGGGCCTGCCTCAGAGCCACTGGCCGTGGGCCCCCATCTGGTGGTCAGAGAGCCCCGTCCCTGTCCCTGTCCCCGTGGCAGGCACGTGTGGCTGGTGGTGGATACCAGGGCCTGCCCAGGGTGCCGGGGGGGCTGCCGGGGCTGTGGAGCCTGGAGACCCCCGACGTCCTGGGGGAGACGGGCCCAGCCTCGCCCTAGGGCCTCTCCAGCATCCCCCTTAATAGGCCTGTAGAGTGGGCGACCTAGTGCGGGCACTGCTGCAGCTGGGTGGCCGCTGACCCTCCCTCTCTGCCTTCCCAGGAGCATCGGCGTCATCACCTACATCCTGTGAGTACTGCTTGCATCCCACCTCGCTGTGGCTGCTGCGGCCTCCCCGCTTGCCGCCCCCGGCCCGGGGCTGTCTGTGGTACACAGGCACGCCAGTCCCCGCCTTTTTCGCCGGCCCCCGCCTGCCGACCGCGGGCCTGGGGCTCTCTGGTGTGCACCCACACCGGTCCCTGTCTGCCGCCTGTGGCCCAGGGCTGTCCATGGTGTGCACCCACGCCGGTCCCTGCCTGCTGCCTGTGGGCCTGGCCTCTTCGTGGTGCGCACCCACGCCGGTCCCTGCCCGCCGCCCACGAGCCTGGGGCTCTCTGGTGCACACCCACGCTGGTCCCCTTCTGACGCCCGCGGGCCTGGGCTCTGCATGGTGTGTAGCCATGCCGGGTTCCCGTCGGTGCTGGGGCCTGCCACGATGCCCTGCAGATACCGGGCAAGGCAGCGAGTGGGTAAGCCATGGCTCTGCCATCCCGGGGCTCCGCGGGCAGGTTCTCTGTCACAAAGAGGCTGGCAGGGCTGTGCCCCGAGGGCATGTGGCTTCCCATTCCTTTCTGGCCACTGACCAGTAACCCGGCCTCGTCAGAAGGGGCAGAAAAGTGACCGGCCCCAGTGCTGGCCTCAGATCCCAGAGCCACTGTCGTCTCTCCCGTGTCGGGCGTGTGCCCGCTGTTCTGCCCCAGCTTGCCGTAGGAGTGGCCCTCGGACCACAGCCTCAGGAGAGGAGTCCCCGAGACAGCTCGGGGCTTCCTGTGGGTTTCGAGGTCGCCTTAGGCCCACAGGGCAGTGAGCATGTAGCCCGCCCCTCTGCCCCTGGCCGCCCCAGGACCCTGCCCACTGGCCTCTCTGGCCAGGACCCGCCGGGACCATGCAGTGGGCCGTCTTTGCTGCCTCAGGATCCTCTGACTCGAGGCCATCCTTCCTCGGCCCTTGCCCCTCACAGCCTCCGCTCTGCCCCCGGGAGAGATGGAGAGACAGAGAGACATTCTGTTTGTGTGTTTGCTCCTTTCTTTGGGTGCACACAGTCCCCAGAGAGGGCAGGGTAGTGAGAAATCACCCCCCCGGGGATGGCCACGCCGCAGACCCTTCTCCTCCATTCTTCTCTCGGGATCTTGGGCACGTACGCTCAGGTGCCCAGCGTGTGTTTCTCGGGATCTTGGGCACGCACGCTCAGGTGCCCGGCATGTGTTTTTTTGTTTAAGAGAGCTTTTTGCTCTAGGGCGCGTGCGCTCGCCAGACAGAGAGAGACAGAAAGCGAGAAATCACCCCCAGGGGGATGGCCACGCCGCAATCCCTTCTCCTCCATTCTCCTCTCGGGATCTTGGGCAGGCACGCACACGCACCTGGTGTGAGTTTAAGCCACCGGGTCCAGGACTCGAACTGTGGTCGACTACATGGGAGTCCAGCGACATAGCCGTTACGCCACCTGCTGGTCCGAGTTACTTCTCTCTTTCACCAGAGAGGCTGCACTCCCAGTAGAGCCTGCACCCCCCATTTTACGGTCCCACCCCTCAGCCCGGGCCCCGGGACACATGTCCAATGTGCTGGGGAGGTCTGGACGAGAGCTTTTCCCACGTGGCCGCCTGGCAGTCACATGTCCCCGCCCGGGAGTGGGGCTCTTCTGTTGTTCATGACGGCCCACCAGGGTTGCACCCAGCATGTTTCCAGGCCGACCGGGGATTGAACCTGCAGCCAGCTGTGTGCCCCTTACGTACCGCCACGTCGGGCCTGGACTGCGGTGTTGGTGGTTGGTGGCAGGGGTGCCGCGGGCGGGTTCTGGGGAACGCGGGTGAGGGAGGTGGGGATCCCTGGCCGGGAGGCTGCAGTGACCAGCAGCCTGACCGAGCCCCATGCCCGGCCCGGCCTGCAGCCTGAGCGGCGCGTCCCCGTTCCTGGGCGAGACCAAGCAGGAGACCCTGACCAACATCTCGGCGGTGAACTACGACTTCGACGAGGAGTACTTCGGCAACACCAGCGAGCTGGCCAAGGACTTCATCCGCCGCCTGCTGGTCAAAGACCCCAAGTACGAGCCTCCTGGTGCCCCTGGTGCGCGGTCAGCCCCCACTGTGGCCTCGAGAGCTGTCCCCACTCTGCAGCCAGTCGGCCTCAGCTTCCTCTCAGGGCCAGCCGTTGCAGCCCGGTGGCCGTGGTCTGCTCACGTGTGTGTGTGCTTTAAAAGGTTTTCGCCCCGTGCGTGTATGCTGGCTGGAGAGAGAGAGAGAGTGAGAAATCACCCCCCGGGGGTGTGGCCTCACCCCAGTCCCGGCTCCATTCTCTTCTCGGGGTTTTGGGCATGCACACACATGTGCCTGGTGTGAGCTTTAAGCCTCCAAGTCCGGGACTTGAACCATAGCCACGTGGAAGTCAGCACCTTACCCACCATGCCACCTGCTGGCTCCACTCCATCTTAAGGAACTTGTTGGCCTTGTCGAAGACAGGCTTTGCGTAACATTCCAGATTCTTCTTTTTTCTGGAGGAATCCACGGCAGAGCCCTGCAGTGCCGAGCCCTCACTCGGGGCGGTCGGCCACTGCGTCCTGGTGAGCCCTCACCTGTCAGCAAAGCCCTCCAGAGGACCCCAAGGCCCTCCACCGGCCCCTCCTGTCTGGTGGCTCGGGCCCCAGCGTCTTTG